ATATGTTGTGGAAGTTGTCGGTGCCCCTCAAGTTCGCTCCCATAACGCAGTTTTGTATGTCGCATTAGAGGGATGCTGTGAACTCTTCAGACATCCGGATACTTGTTTTAGGAATCCTTGGAGGGATCCGTTTTGGAGCTCACAAGGGGGTCTTTGTGCCATCAAACCCAGAGTTTTTCAGTTATCCTTACGGAATCCCCACGAAATCATCAGGATCCCATCAGGATGTCACGGATCATCAGGAATCTTTAGGCGTCCGAGAGATCGTGTCGGAATAGTCAGGGGTCCGCAGAAATTGTTCGATAATCTGTCATATTCTTTTAGCGTCAGCAGGAAACCCTTTTGAGGAATTCCTCTAGAGTCATTTAGGCGCTACATCGCCCACACCCCGCGGATCGCACCGATAGCACCGCACATATTTTTTTCGAAACAGGAGTAGACCCTACCACTCCCACCCTGGATTGCACATCGTTTTGCCCCTTTGTCAATTTCCCATGTGAAATCACACCGTCCCAGGCAGGTCAGTATCGCCCCTTCATTTATGTCAAATAGTACCATGCGGCGCAGTCGATTATCATACAGCAACATGTCGTAAGAGTCTTTTTCGGGAAAGAGAGCAATGTCCACACGCGCGCGTATATTTCGAGATCGTACCGCACACATTAGTATTGCACGCGTTCGGATATAAGCACCGGAAAAACCTTAACACGTTCCACCAATTTACCTAGCACATGTGTTGCTCGCGCGCATTTGCTGAAATCTTCGGATCGCCCTTTGATTTCAGCAATTCCGTCCATAGCGCGCATTATCATTTCACTACGCGGTGCGTCTGCGTTGATCTAGCATGCGCCCAGTGCACGGCTCCGTATCACGTAATACCATGTGGGCCACACGCGCTTGCCGCCACGCGCACGTGTCTAAACCCTTTCAAAATCATGGTCTGTCGAAGCGTTTCAAGATGTAGCATATCAAACACAGAACCGACCAAACGTTTTCAACGAACGTCTATCCGATTCCTTGAATTTCTTGCCGTAGCCAGAATGGCTCATTTTCCGATGGGCGCGGCGTAGACAGGCTTGGCCGTGTCTACAGCCTTCGCCCGCGGTGGTTGCACGGCCATGGCGCGGGCGCTTTCCATGTGTGCTCAGTCTGGCGACGTGGCGGGCGCTGGAGAGATCATCAGGAAGATGCAGGCGTCGAACGCCCCGATCCAGGTCGCCTCTCTGAACTTAGTGCTGCAGGCGTGCGCGAAGAGCGCGGACGGCCAGGCTGCCGAGCTGTGGTTCTCGCGCATTGGCCAGTGCGGCATGACGCCGAACCGGGCGTCCTACTGCGGCGTGATCCTCGCGTGGGTCAAGGGTGGAAACCTCCATCGCAGCGAGCACTGGATCCGGAAACTGTACGCGGCAGGGCTCACGACGCCCAAGGGCTTTTGCCGGCAGCTTGCGCGCAAGTCCATAAGCGGGGCGTCGACGGGCGTCGTCGCTAAGCGCGCAGAGCAGGTCACCCCGTGGCTGGGCCGTCTTCACCACATGGGAGTCCCGATCGACCGTTCCACTGTGAACTTGCTGATGGGCGCGTTCGCAAGGGTCGGGAACATCACCATGACCGAGCAGTGGGCCGCCTTCATGGAGCAGGCCAGCATCCCTCCGAACCGCTCCACGTTCTGCGCACTGGTGACCGCCTCCCGGCTGTCGCGGGACCACCAGCGCGCCAGCGGCTGGCTCGCCCGCATGGAGGCGTTCGGCTTCCCTCCGGGCGACCTGGAGACGGACCTCATGATGGGGAAAAACACGCAATGAACCGTCGACCCTCAGGAAGACATGGAAAATATGGGGGGAGCGTGGAGTGAAGACGAGCATCCAGCAAACGTGGGAAACCATTGGGGGATCCTGGGATCTGTGCCTATTTTTCTTTGTGTGCCCCTGGGCCCCGATCGGCGTCACCCCAACGTACTACCACTATGTGTGCGTCGCCCCCCCCAGGGGCGACGCGCGCACCGAGAAATCCCATAGTACGTGCGTCGTGGCGGGCGCTTTCTGGCCGCACCGCTCGGGAAACGCTCTACTACGAGATGGGTATACTATGTGTTCGGGTCGGACGCGCGCCTCCAAGGAGGACACATAGTACTAGTGTGTCTCTGTGTGCCCCACCCTAGGACCACCATTGTGTTCCGAGGCGAGAATTTAAACATGACCACCGCCTGGAGGATCAATTCTCGCGCACCTCGGCAGGGGGGGGATATGGACATTTTCGGGCCCCCGGGGGCCAAAATAACTATCCATACCCCCCGCCCGCTGGGGCACCAGGACGTCGGTTCCCAGGCGGTGGATCTGGAGAAATTCCCGCCTCGCATGCGTGCTTCTGGGCCCCTACAGGACCCCGAGCTCGGTGACGCCGACTCCGACTGCGGCCACCCGCCCTCGCCGCCCCGCGGCGGGCCAGCCCCCGCCCCCCACGCCCGGGCCGCCGCGGCGCCGAGGGTGCCCGCCCGGAAGCCTCCCGCGCGCGGGCAGCATCGGAAGGCACCAACGAAGACACCTGCACCTGCGACAGTCCCGGAGACCCAACGCATTGAAAAACTCGAGGCGGAGGTGTTTCGCATTTTTCGGCCTCTGGGGGCCCTCGCCGGGCCCCGGGACCGTCAAAAACGACTCAGGATGAAAATTGGCCCTGGGGAAAGGGTGAAAATTGGCCCTGGGGAAAGGGTCGGAACTTCCCAGGACCCCGCATTGAATCACGACATCTGATCTCTGGGGTTGGGCGACGCAATCTATACATCACACCAGAGAAAAAACTCCAATCCGTGGATGTTTTGATGAGATCACAATGAATCGTGGGGTCGATAAAGAGACCGATAATGAGATCGACCGGGAGCCTAGGAACCCGGAGCCCACCGAATTCGGCCCAGAACCAATAACCAGGAGCCCAGGAACCCGGAGCCGGGAACCCTGGAACCCAGCCAGCTACCAAAATCGGCGAGAAATGTTCGCCAAATCTTTCAATTACACTTGAGACAGCCCCAAGCAGTGGATGATTTGAAAAGTAATACTATGGACCTTGAGACCGATTGTGAGATCGATGATGAGATCGATCGTGGAATCGATAGTGAGGACGATTATAAGGTCGATCGTGAGACCGAGAGTGAAATCGAGTCGATGAGATCGATAGTGAGATCGATCGCGAGATCGCTCATGCGATCTCTAGTGAGATCGCTTGTGAGATCGATTGTGAGATCGATGGTGAGATCGATGGTGAGATCGATAGAGAAGTGGGTAATGAGACCGATGGTGAGACCGATCGATAAGAAGATCGACCAGGAACCCAGGAACCCGTGAACCTCGCCGCCCTCCGAAATCGGCCTGGAACCCAGAACCGGGAACCCGGGAACCAGGAACCGGGAACCCGGGAAACCTCGCCAAAATTTTCAATTTCCGCGAGGACCCCTGCAGTGCAAGCACTGATTGTGGAATTTCCATTAGGACCCCGTCAGCGCAAGCACTGGTTGGGGAATATCCATTGCCCGCTCGGCCAGGAGGGCGTATGCACAGCTCCTGGGCCTAGGAAGGGCCCAGCCAGGGGGCAGCGTCATGGTGCCAACATCGCAGAGCGGATTTCGTTTGGGAAACAATGGGATGGGCCTGGATTGTCCAGGAGAATTCCGATCCGGATTTCGAAGTGAATTTCGTGCGATTTTGTTGGCCAGGAATGGAGACTACAACACATCCACGTGAAAGCCATTCCGTTTTTCGCTTGTCGTTTCGGGGTTCGCCGAGACAGAAATCCACGCACAAATCCGCTGCAGCACGTCTGGCGGCGCTGGCGCGCCGGCGACGCCTGCGAAGGCGTTCAAGGTTGAGCTCCGCGAGATGGGGCGACGCGGAAGCACCGAGGGACATGGCAACGAACGCCACAGCACCCGACGAATTCAACTTTGAACGGTTGGGAGCCGCGATCGGTTCAAGGTTGAACGATCGAGGCGGTGTCAAAGACCTCTGAGTGCGCCCCTACCGTATATCCTGGCCAGGCCGGCCCTGGCCCAGGATCTCAGAGGAGGAAAAGGTTCCCATACCTCAACGCTTCCCCCTCGTTTTCCCTTTTCGGGGCCTCCTGTGGCAGGCCCTTGTCGCCACCGCTGGATGCGCCTTGACGTTCTGGTCAGAGCGCACTGCTGGGATAGGTCTGGCGAGTAGCGGCACCGGTACGGTTTTTTGGTTTTCCCTGGATTGGTGCGCTGCTCCCTGGACCACTCCCGGGGTGCGTTCGGACCAGAATTTCGAGGCGAATCCAGCCGTGGCGACGAGGGGTTCCCAGGAGGCTGAACAGGTGGACAACGAGGGAAGTGCATGTATATCTGTACCTATGTAAGTATACACACATTTGCCAACATGTATATATATATATATATGTGTGTAGATATCTATCTCTACATACACATAGAACTCTATACATACCAGCCATTTCGATGAGGGCTTCCCAGGATGCCGAATAGATTGAAAACGAGGGACGGGTGTATATAGTGTATATATATATATATATATATGTATATATATATATATATATATATATATATGCCTTCCTGCCCAAGCCAGGAGGGCGGACGCACCGATCCTGGGCCCAGGGTGGCCCCTGTCCAGGGCCACGAAGCGGTGTGCTGGGTGGGAGACGCATGTGAACGCCGCTTCTGGGGCCTTCGGTAGAGCTCCCCATGGGGCCACGGAGCGATGCATGCTGGGCAAGTGAAACGCATGCGAGCGTCGCCTCTGAGGCCTTCGGAGGAGCTCCCTGTGGGGCCACGAACCCGTGCACCGGGCGGGGGGACACGCGTGCGAACGCCGCCTCTCTAGAGGGCCTTCGGCGGAGCCCCCTATCTGGGGGGCCACACGACGCGCCTTGTGGGTGGGCGAGGCGCCCGCGGGCGCCTCGCCCGGGAGGACCGGTGCAGGTGCAGAGCTTTTGGTGCCTTCCTGCAGCAGCAGGAGGGCCCCGCCCCGGGCCCGCGCGCGCCGCCGCGGGGCGCGCCGCGCCCGGAGGGGCCCGGCCCGCCGTGCGGCACCCCGCCCGGCCTGTGGCCCCAGGGGGCGGCGCCGCTGCCGCGGAAGGTGCAGCTCGGCTGTCGGAGGCGCCGATGCGGCGGAGCTCCGCCGCCCCCCCGGGGGAGTCGGCAAGGGCCATCCATGCGTCTTTTTCTGGACCGCGGGAAAACGAGGCCCTGTCGTGGGGGAACTGCCCCCCTCGCGGGTGTTTTTGCTAGACCCACTTACGGGTTTCGCGGCCGCTCATCTGGGCCTTGACAGTCGGCATCGCTCGGGCGCGTGCGTCCCAGAGATCCGAGGCCGTGGTCTGCTCGAGGCGGGGGTTCCTGGAGGTCTCGGCCCGTGCCCGGGGACCGGCTTTTCCTCCCGAGTCGTCTTTTTGGACGGTCCCGCCGAGGCCCCGAGAGAGAGGCCCCGTGTAGGGGCTGAGCAATACAAGAAACCTCCGTCTTGATTTTTGCAATGCGTTGGATCTCTGGGGTGCCCTCGCGGCAAAGACCATGTCGAGGAGCCCCCATGGGGTCGTCGTGCGCAGCGATGCGCGCACGACGTCTCGACGAGTGCACGGGGGATGGGCGGCCGAGCGAGGGCGAGGGGACGTGCTCCGACTCACACTGCCTCGCTCGTCGAGAGGGAGGAGGGAGAGAGGGGGCGGTGAAGAGGGGCACGGAGGATGAGGGAGGCCCTCTTGGAGCGCTTCAGGGTCGTCTGGGAGGCCATCTAGGGAGTCTTGGAGGTCTCCTGAGCAGTCTTGGGGCCCTCTTGGGGCCGTCTTGGGGGCCTCTTGGGCCATCAAAGGGCCATCTCGGATGCCTCTTGGGCGCTCTTGAGGCCATTTTGGTGGCCTCTGCGGCCGTCTTGGACCGTCGGAAAGCCGAACATGAGCAATCGTCAACAACCTTCAAGCACCTACGGAAAGTCAGCGATGTTGGCCTCTTGGGGCCGTTCTGGCCGTCCTCTCGGAGACCTCTTGGGCCGTCTTGGAGGCCTCTTGGGCCCTCTTAGGCGATCTTGAGTCCATCTTGGGGCGTCTTTCTTGGAAACATCTTGCGGCCATCTTGGGCTCGAGGCCATCTTGGCCGTCTTGGAGGCCATCTCGAAACAGTCTTTTGGGTGGAGAGGCCGACGGGATGAAATCTCAGCGGCCTTCGGGGTGGCCAGCGTGACTGGCGTGATCGGCCGAACGCCCACTGGGAGCTTGTAAACCGAACCAAACACTACCAAGCACTCGGCTTGCCGTGCACCCCGGTGGCAGGCCACAGGGCGGCGGATCTGGCGGCCTTCGGCCTGTCCCGTCGCCGTTGCCTGGGCCGATCATTCGGCGACCCGACGCCTTCTGGGACCGTCTGAAAGGCCCCTCGGGGCCCTTTCGGCTTGTTTTGGAGTTCTGTTGGGCCTGGAAAGGTCACGCGAGAAAGCGCGCCACTGCCCGGGAGGCACACCAGGAGCCCAAGGAGTCAATGGATTTTTCGACCCGGCCCCCTAATTTTTCAATCTTGAGGACTGAGGACCACGGTAGTTTCGCGTCATGTCGACTGGCGGCACCCCCGCCGCCGGCGTTCAACGTTGAACGCCGCCGGCGACCCAGAATTGGTCGGTTTTGCACGATCTGGCACTTCGGGAACGGCCGATCGTTCAAGGGTGAACGATCCCCGCGATGTAGGAACCAACGCTGGGGTCGACACGACACGAACCCACGGTACAGAGGGCGTGAGGACACTCCAACTCGTGCCTCGCGGCACGGTGGCGGACTTGGGCGGCCCGCACTCCGAGAGCGGGCTTCTGACCCCAGCCGAAGGAGGCAGACCTGCAGCAGCATGACCTCCCGGGGGCCCGCGCGGACTTCTCGCGGATCGGCGCCGGGCACCCCCCTCCCCCCTGCAGCGATGCGCTCGGGGGGCCCGGCGCCGATGCCAGAAGCCCGCGGACGTACCTCGGGAGGAGCGCATGCCCCCTGCCGGTGCCTTCTGCCCCTCCTTCGAGCCCAGAGAAGGTCGGGGTGCCGGCGCCGTGGGCGCGCGCCGGCTGCCTGCCGAGCCCCATCTACGTGTAGGGGCGGGGCCGCGCGCCCGCGGCGGCTCCTCGGGGGCGGGGGAGGGGCCCGCGCCCGGCCTCGGGCCCCCGGGGGGGCGGCCCGCCGACGGGTGCGCGGGCGCGGCTGCCGCCCGCGCGTGGTCGGCGAGGTTCTGGTCGGGATCCCTTCGGCCAGGCGCGGGTCGGCCGCGCGCAGAGGGGGGGGCTGACGGGGGGGGAGGGGGGAGGAGGGCTGCTTGCAGAAGCGCCCCCCGCTCCTCTCAGAGGGCGCGGGCCTCGTCTGCGGCTGCCGGGCCAGCGCCTTCCAAGGAGCGGCCTCCTGCTCCGAAGCCCCCTCCCCCCCCTGCCTCCTCCACCCCCTTGTGCGCGCCGCCGAGCAGGGGGGGGCGGAGGCCGGGGGGAAGGCTGCCTATCAGCCGCCTGCGTCTCAGAAGGCGCGGGCCTTGTCTGCGCCCCCTTCCTGCGCGCCGCCGCGTCCCGCCCTCCAGTCGGGCCGCACGAGGGGGGGGGGTGGGGGAAGGGGGGGCTACGAAATCTGCTGCGTGCAGCTGGTTTCGGCCACGCCGCCGGGCCCCTTCCTCGATACGTGGGCGCCTCCCGGCGCCGGGAGGCGCCGGGTAAGTTCGCTACGTGAGCTGATTCTTGAACCCCCCCTTTGCTATCCCCCCCTTTCGCCCGGCCCGATCCAGGCGGAGTGCATTCAGCACGTGGAAGTGCGCTGGGCGCACCTCCAGATCGGACGAGTCTCTCGGGGGCCCTCGGGCGCCTCCTGCCGGCTCCTCCTCCCGTGGCTCCTCGAGGGCACTGGCCCGACCGGGCCGAGGGAGGCGGGCCTGCACGGCGCGCGCTCTGCATGCCGCGATGGCTTCGGCCGCGAATCGGCGAGGCACCCTCCCACCGCCTGCCCATGCGCACCAGCGGCAGTCCGAGAGTGGCCTGCCAGGCCGAAGCGTTTTTTCTGGACCCCCCGGCGTCCCGTCCTGGGTCCGCTGCCGGCGCTCTTAGTTATCCAGCCGCCTGCGGCAGATCCCGCCTTTCAAGCAGTGGCGAAGCGGCTCAGCTCGCCTATAGGCCTGCCAAAGAATGCTCTAAGAACCCTTTCTGGGGTCTGCAGGGGATATTCTTAGAACCTTTCTGGCTGAGACTGTCTTGTTTTATCGCATCGGGCTTATGCTCCAAGAGCAGTGTTCCTGTTATTTGGTCAGTGCTGGGTTCTAAGAACATGTCGTGGTAGGCCTATAGGGATGCCGGGACGAACGGTTCCTACTCAAGCCACCGTGCCAGCACAGCAGCGCAGCAGGAGCACTGTCGAGCTCAGGACCCGCTCCAGGTTGGTGACTTGTGTGGGCTGGCGCGGGTCCTGAATGCTCCTCCTTGGCCGCAGCCTTTTTCTCTGAGTTCCTCCGTTGTCCTTCTTTTCCTTGCTGGAGTCTGCGAACTATCCGCGAGGAGGCCCCGCCAGCGACGCGCGCGCGGGGCCTGGGCCGAGTGCCGGCGAGGGCGCCCGACGCAGCCATTGTCGCGTTACGGCGCGACACGTTGGAATGGGTAGTGGAAGGGCTTCGTTCACGCAGAAGCGGGTATTTCGAGCGGGTGACGTTGAAAGTTCGCGAGGCGCCGGCCGTCGGCGCCATCGAGATAGAAGGGTCCGAGATCACGACGGCGCAGCAACCCGCAGTCGACGCCCCGAAGGGCGACGACGTGGGCGGAGACGACTGGGCGGATGCCCAGGCGGGGCTCGCGAAGCAAGCGGCAGCTGAAAATGCATTGGCCGCAAGAGGTGCGCGGCGCATTGGGCGGCGTGCCTACGGGGTCCTAGAGCAGACGAGCGGGCTCTTCTACCGGCCGTTGCGACGACTGGCCCCGCGGGGGCAAATTGCATCGGCGGCGCCGCCAGGGGGGCGCGCAGCAAACGTTGCAGAGCAAGCGGAGCTTCAGGGGCGACTCGCCCAGCATGCTCAGCAGTCACAGTAGAAATTGACTCGGAGAGCTCGCATGCGCGGCGGGCGCAATATCAAAGCGGTGCACGGCGTGTGCGCCGCGATGGAGAGGCGCAATGCGATGGCCAATCGGGCGGGCGCCTCCGCGCAGCAGTTCGCAGCGACAGGAGCGCAGCCGCAGAGACCAGAGCGAGCAGCCGAAAGTTTTTACTGACCAGCGGCTGCGCCGCAGCTAGCGGCAGCGGCCGAGGATTGGGGAGGGGCAGCAGGATTGGGCGGTGCTTGACGCGCAGGGCGCTGGGCGGCAACGGGCATGGGCATATGGCTTCTATTTCTTGTCCGAAGGTGTCAAGAGTAAGCGTGGAACGGCAGCGGATCATGGCAAGTGACCACCTGGTCCAGTGCTACCGAGCCTGCGAACGTCGCCTTATGGAAGCAACAGGGGGTGTGCATTTTTTCGAATAAGCTTGGTGCGATTGCACTCCAAGGGGCAAGGCTTGCAGGCGTGGCCATTCAAAAGCACGTCGACTTGCCGAAAAGGACAGTTAATCCGCAGTCTTGGGTGTGCTTATGCCAACTTACAAGACGGGTGGGCCAGCAGACGTGGCGGCGTTGCAGTGCTGAGCAGAACGACGGCGATGCCTGGCGTTCAGCGGCATGCAGCAGCAGTGCTCTCAGCGCGACAAGTCTGCGAGCTATCCAGGTTGGTGTGCGGTTATTCTCGCGTCGCGCAAGGTGCGACCTCCTTTTTGCACATTGCTTATTTTATACTGCCAGGATGACCAATGGAAGGGGAGATATCTGGACAGGGCCTTCGGGCCTTCGAGGGCTGCGCGACGATGAGCAGCCGGCCTGCGCCGTTGCGCGCGGGCGCTAAATTATCGAGCAATTCCATCGTCATCCATCGCGCGCAAAGCGCTGGGGGATGGAGCGACCTGGGCAGCCGATTTGCGACGGATGCTGGAACGGAACCGATCCATTGCGGGCAGTCTGGGCGGGGCGAGCATTCGCGAGGCCGGTGCGCGTCGCGACCTGATTGTATTCGTGCCATTGCGTCGGGCGCGGCCATGGTGACGTCTTGCGAACTCATCGGTGACTCCCAATCCCGGGCCACTTGCCCCCCCCTCATCACGATGGGCGCTGCGGCCCTCGCAGTGCCAGAGGCGGACCGCTACGGCGTCGAATGTCTGCGTGCCTGAATGATTTCCCGCCCCGAACGACGATGGCGTGATCCGCGACGAAGGTCATCCAGGATATGATTTCAGCTCGGCAGTCAGGTAATGCGATCGCGGACGACAATGACGACGCCGCAGCCATTTCGGAAGTTGCCGCAAACTTGGCAGAGAAACATTTGCAATGGCGATGTGAAAAACCACGCCCGACTTGCGACGAGGGGAAAAATGGGGACGCAGAGGTATCGCGGTGAAGGAAGAACTTATTGCAGCGCCCGCGACGACCTCGAGAGGACCTGCGGACCGATCGCAACAAGGGCCATGATTGCAGCGACAACTGCAAGACATACATACTACAATCCAGAAGCGCTGGGGCGGTGGGGAAGACCTCGCGACCGCGGTGGGCGTGGAGATCCAGCGCAGATAAAGCAAGATCAAGAAAGGCCTCGTCAAACTGTGCTTGCGCACTTCAGAGATTCACAGCGTTGCGCTGGCGTGGGCCAGCGCTGATCACATGCGCGACAAATTGCAGAAGCTGTTAGCCAACTGGGGCAATCCATTCTAGACGCATCATTGAAAACATGGTGGGCGCGACCATTCGGGGCCCTGATGTCGGCGGCATTTGCAGCGGGCGATCGGACCCCGGCATGCCGCGTGACCGCCGAGAGCGACGCCGATCACAGCGCGCAAGGTTAACGCCAACGCGGACACAACGATCAACCACAAAGGGCGGATCCACGCGGTGCGACTTGCAGGCGCACTGGCAGCCTCGAAAGAACCTTTGCGTTCGACATTCAACGATTGCAGGGGTTGTTCATGGGCAGGCATTTTACCATCATGTCGACAAGACTTGCATCAGGCACTTCGTGGTCTCCAGGAGCTCAACCCAGTGGGGGCCCCCCTGCGAGGCCCTCAGACAAGACAAACCCACATGGGCATCGAGCGGTAGAATATCGCCGAAAGGGGGGTCTCTGGGCTGCAGGACCTACCAACGAGCACCGTGTGCTACTTCGCAAAGGCTTGTCTGTTGTTCGAGATTGGATTAGAATGTCCCAAGGCGCATCTGGAGGCGCGCTCTAGCGCGATCTGCGCAGGTGGGAAGCGCGCCGCGCGCGGCAAGAAACACCTGGGCGGCGTCGCGCTCCCGCGCGCGGACCGCGCCAGGACCAGCAAACATTGTCCGCCTCTAGTCTCAGCTTGGGAACGCACCAGATGGACCGGCACATCGAGATGGAGGGGCGCGCGCGCCGGACGCCGCGCGCGGATCACGAACCGAACGTGGGGCAACATAAGTTGCTCTCGACGACGGTGCGATTGCATTGCTAGCCACGGCCGCGGAGAAATGCCCAGTTGCTCTGGGGATTCATTGGGGGCGCTCCTCGACGAATCCCACGGAGATGCAACTGTCTCGTGGGCTGCGTGCGAGGCCGCCCAGGCACTTCGCCAGAGGCCCGCGCCTTCCTCCGAGCAGAGGGCCGCCTGATGAGGCAGGCGCGCTACAACATCAATTGAACAGTGGGAAATTCCCCAGCCCCACACAACTATATACTGTATTTTACATGTCAGCGTTTTGCAATTACGGCGAATGAGCGTAAGTGTAGGCACTCTGTCGGCGAGACCATTGCCAGCTGCCGCGGGGGGGGGGCCCGCGCGCGCGGCGATGTCCTGGGCCCGCTCGTCGCGGCGGCGTCCGCGCCGGCATTCCCGGGGCCGCGCGCGCCGCGGCCGCGGCGTGCAGCTGGAGGCGGCGGCGGCGCTGCCCTTCGCGCGGCAGCGCCGCTGGCCCGGCCGAGGGCCCCCGCGCCTGCCTCCGTCGCCCTCTCATAATCCCGCCCGCGGAAAAGTTCTGATGGGGCGTTTCTTTCAAGGCAACTGGTCCAATATAAAGATTTCTCTGCGTTTATATAGATGAATAACTTTTTTTGTTTATGTCAACTTCCCGGGGTTTGCCCGCGCGAGACTTTCTGCTTCGGAGACGTTTAGATCGATGTTGTACTGAGTTTCTATAAACTTTTTCGGTCTGGTGCCTGAACGTTGCTTTTGGGGTGGGTCTACTTCTCGATGCGCGCCCGCGCGGGGCGGGCCCCGGGCGCCGCCTGGGGCTCTTGTCAGTGCCGCCAGGAGCCGACGCCCATTCGTTCTTGCTTCGGCACGACCGCGCGAATGTCCACAGTGATTCTGGGCGTTGGCTGCGTGCCGGCGCAAGGAAACCCCGATTGTTCAAGCGCCGCTGAGCATGGCAGCAGCGCGCTGTTCGCAATGCAATGCGCGACGTTGTCGCTGGCTGACAGTCGATCCGATTCCGCTTGCAGCTCGCGCGTCCCTTGGCGGCCCCACTGGTCTAAACCTCCTAATGTTGTGGGCGGGGTCTTTTCGTCATGCGTTCATCAATCTGGGGCGCTCCATTGAGAGTGGCTCTACAATGCGACCAGCTGCGTCTCGCCGAGGCTCAGGTTGCATCATGGCGGTGACGTGGGCCCGAGCAATATTCATATCTACCTCGGGTGATGCGCCGCCCATGGCTTCTCGGGCGACATCGGCCTCGTGGCGACGGGCTCCGACTCCGACGCAGCGGCGAAACATTCGCGACGAGCTTGGGCCACGAGCGTGACCTTTTTCAGACTATCTGGCTGCGTTCCCAATTCCGGCGCGGCGAAGGCCTTGGCGAACGCGCCCGATGGGGGGGAATTGCACTCGACGTTTCGCCGCGAGTTTTTTGTCGTCGAGCTTATCTGCTCCAAGGCAATCATCCTGGTGGGATAGGTCCTGGGAAACGTTCGGCAGCGGCGCAGACGGCAAGACAGGAATTGGCACGGGAGCGAATCGACGACGTGAAGCTGGCAGTTTCAAGGGCGATCAAGGTCACGTGTCAGACCAGACTGACATTCAACGCTTGGCGGCGCGCATCCTGGATGCATCATTCACCAGGAGAGCCATGTGGGTAACGATATCAACAATCATGGCCTTGGCCGCGCTCGGCACCTCGTTGACCCTCGGCAAGCAGTGCGATATCGTGAATTGACGGTACTACGATGGTTATTGCAGAAGGGGGCTGGTCTCCACCGCCGTTCCAAATGGCCCTGTTATCTGCGCGGAATCAACCGCGAGAAGCTACTCTACCACATGGGCCATTCACGGTCTTCCTCCATGTCGCCAAGGACATTGGTTGGGGAATCGTGGGCGAACTCGCGATTGCGAGACCCAGTCGCGAAACCAGCGCGCCGCGGATCCGAGCGCGAAGGCTTCCCGACGATGGGCGCCGACGACGACGCGACGGTCGCCGGATACAGAAGGATAATGGAACGCACCACGGGTTTCACATATGAACCTGGACAACCCGCAGTCGCCTGTGCTTTTGCATGGCCATGCGCGCGTCGGGCGACCTGCAGATTGCCGCGGGCAGGAGGTCTCGTCGCAGGAGCTATCGCGGAAAGAGCTGGGTAGAAATGGGGTGTTCCTTGCCTTTCCTGCGTGGCGGCTGCAGTGGCAGAGCGTCGTGCATTCTGGGAATGTACACTGGCCCCGCTGCAACGGATGCTCTTTGAAGGCCCGACAGAGACGAATGTCGACTGACTCCCTATGGCGACAAGGTTGACGGGAATATTTCGAGATGGCCCAACTTTGAACGACAGTTTTGCCGATCTTACCCAGTTTTGCCGATCTTACCCATTGCCTCGAATATCAAGAAGCATCGCCACCAGATGCGCAGTCTGACGGCTCCGCGTCCTCAGTCTCAAACGGTTGCAGAAAGGAAGTTGGGGCGGGGCCGCGCCAGGGGGGCGAGGGGGCCGTCGCCTTCGTCGACTTGGATCGGGGCTTCACTGTGGCCAAAACCATTCACGCTACTTCGCAGGGCCGCTGGAAAAGGGCCCGTCCAATCTGTGCTGAAGGGGCGAAGTTCGAGCGGCGCTGCGTCGGGCGGCCTGGGCGTGGGTCATGCGTGTGTACATCGTTGATAACCGCCGCGTGTGCAGCGGCATCCAGTCCATCACCGCCCGCCGTCCTCGCAAATTCAAGAAGCCACGAAGGTCTTTGGCATCGAATCGAGACGGCGTTCGCGGTCGGGGCGGGGGCCGTTCGAAGTAAACAAAGTGGGATCACATCAGACACGCGCCCAACGAGAAGGCGAATCAGACGCCGCCCGCTCAGCCACGATGAAGCTGATCAGCGCGCAATCCAGGAGGCTCAGGAGCACGTCGCCAGCTTCGCCGCGATGGAGAAACGGAAGTATCGCATCGCAGAGGGGGCGTAGGGCGCAGTCCAATATATTTGACGCGGTCCAACGACGAGCAGGGGAATACATTAAGCAAGGGCCCGAGTACCATATCATGTTACAAAATGCCGAACGCTCACGGAGGAGATGGAGGACGCGAGCCACTTCCAAGACCCTTGCTGCGCGGAGGAGGAGGGCGCATTCGGATTTGGGGGCGCCACGGGCGGCGAGGATGAGACATGGGTAGCACTATCAATCCAGGGGGCCACCGCGATGGAGGCAGCGAGCTAGGAGATGACCCCGAAGACTCCCGAAAAGGCCCCAGCAGCCCCGAGAAGGACCTCGCACCCGAGCGCCCCGAAAGCAGGCCGGAGCACGTGCCGTGCGCCGAATGGGGAAATGCCGTCGGGAGCATATGATCAGCCAAGCAGTTCAGAACAGCTTCAGCGACGGGGGTTCCACCAGGATTTCTGCCGGCATGACCCGGCCTACCGGGAGTTGTTGTCGCGGCGAGGAAGGAGGAGGCATTTTTGCACTTCAGGCGGGGGCCGAGAACGATGACAAACAGGGCGGCCCCCGCTCGGAGACGCGAGTCTTGGGAATTGGAACGCTGACATGTGTCATGCGATTACACTGGCACTGGAGCCAGACATGTGTCGACGGCGACCCGAGCGGCGCAGGGCAAGCGATCAAATGCGAGACGCGATCCAACGGACAGACATCTAATGCCCTGGTGCCCATTGGACTCTGCGATGGCGACGGCCGAGTACACGGCGGGGAGATGAGAGCGCGGGGCCATTGTTTAGGGGACCGAAATGTGACATAAACATAAAAACTCGGAGGTCCGCGCGGATTGTTCGGATCGGCGCTGGACCCCCTTCCTTGGCGCGCGGAGCGCGCCAGGGGCGGCGCCGGAGGCGCCGCCGGGGGGCCCCAGCGCGGATCCGAGAAATCCGCGCGGACCTCCGAGTTTTTATGTTTATGTCACTTCTTGTTCCCCTATTGTTTCGGTGGGCGTTCAGACGAAACTGTTTCCAGCAGCTGCGTGCGAAAACTCTCTTTCAGAGGTTGGATGGGGGGGGGAAGCAGGCGGGCGGCGGCTCGCGCCGTGCCGGTGCGAGGGAAGCACGGGCACCTCTCCCCGCAGTCACGGAATGCATGCAGCTCATGCGAATATAAAGTTGAAGGAGCCGGCCTCCTCCTCCTCCTCCTCCTCCTCCTGCTCCTTCTCCTCCTCCTCCTGCTCCTCCTCCTCCTCTCCCTCCTTTTTTTTGACGACGCGCGAGCTCGAGTCGATGTGCTGTAGCGTTATATCCCTCCTCCTCCTTTCTCGCGTCCTCTTCTGTCCTCATCCTCCATCCTCTGTCTTCCCTGCTACTCTCTTCCTGCTCCTCCACCTCATGCAACTCATGAGGCCAATGGAACCAGAAGCAGTCAACATGTTGCTCTGTAGCTTTGCTTCGCTCAATGCGAGGGGAGAGGGCGGCGCATCGTGGGCGGACATCTCTCTCGGCGGCGGCAGCGATGCGACCGATATGAGCAGGGAGCTCGAAGGCGGCCCAGCCTCGGGAAGCAACTGAGCCAGACCGTGAGCAGCACTGCATACAGGAGCCCGGACGAGTCCCAGAGAGGCGAGTCCAAGGAACACCGACAGCATCATCACAGAGAGCTAGCTAGACGGCGGCATCTTCCAAAGCATTTGCCGAAGCGACTTCGACGCCGCCGCCGAAAACGGCCACTAGCACGAGTGGACTGCCAAGCATGAGCAGCACGGCGACCTCTAATTCAGGTTCGCTGAGACATGGAAAGGAGATGCCCAGGCATAAGGTAATTCATTTATTGCTGAGGGAGGTCGCTAGATTCACAGAGTAGGAACCTAGTACTTGAGTTGTACCAAAGCAGGTTTCTTAAGAAAAGGGGAGGACCGTCGATTTTCCAGAACCGAGCTGCTGAGCAAAACATGGAGCTGCATCTTTTCTTTTTCGAATTCAAGAGCTACGAGGACACCGTCCTCCAGTGCCCGAGATGTGGAAAGAACATGTAGACGTCCAACAGCAAGGGTCATGGCATTTGCTGGATCGAGCGCGCTTGCTATCGTTGCCCAGGTCGAACGCTTCATCTGGCGCGGGATAGGAATGCAATGCCCAGCAGCACAGGGCGATCGCGGTGAACATCAGGCGCTTGGTCAATCACAGCAAACGAGCGCGAGGATAACCCATTCATGTTTATGGGCTCGAATTCAGGAGCATCGGTTGTTATCTCAATTTGGAACCAGCTCAGATGACAAATTTTGATGCCATTGCAGATGCTGTTTGCGATGGCGCCTCGGTGGCAGAGGATATTCAGAATGCTGCGAATTCCACTTCATCAGTTTTTTCCCCTTCAGAGGGGCCACGGGCTTCGTCGTGATGGCGGTGAACCTCTTCACGGACACGAAATCCGTTTTGAACCCGAAGAATTGCAAAAGCAACAGCACATCCACTGTCCAAGTGCTATTTTTCAGTGTGCTTCGCCTTTGAGGACCTCGCTGCAAGCCTCTTTGGGCGTCTCTGGAGGCCTTTCGGAGCATCTTAGAATAATCTGGGACCCCTATGGGGCTCGTTGGGTGGTCCTTGCATGGCCGTGCGGCGTTTTGCAGTTTTTTCCGATCGGTTTTGGGCCGTCTTGGAACCGCCTGGAAGGCGAACGACCGCTTTTGGGGCTGTATTGGAGCGGTTTGGGGGGCTGCCACTGAGGTTCTGGGCGCTTTCCAGGGCCTTCTTGAGGCGATGCGCAACCGACAAACATCGGAAATATGAAACCGCAATCCGGATTTGTATATGAAGTTTGTGCGTCCCTTGGGGACTTCTCGCGGCCTCTCGGGGCATGTGGGAAGATCCTGTTGCCGTCGGACGTCTTCCGACGTTCCTGAAGCGTTCTGTGTACGTTTCGGGGTTGGTCTTGGGGAGCAACCGCTGTCGCCGCCCCTGGGCGAAAGCGGCGCCCGAACGAAACACCAGGAGGGGCGATTTTCGGAGGCTGGCTGCTCGTGTGGGGGTGAGGCACGGGGACCCCTTCCTCCGGCTTCTCCTCCTCCCCCGCCTGCCCTCCCGCCTCGCCTTCCGCCTCCTGCGCCTCCCTCCGGTGGCTGGCCCATCTGCCTCTTCGGCGGTGTCGCACGCGGCGTGCCCCCTCGGCAGCAGCGCCGCCCGCCCGGATACGGAGCGAGCACGCCTGGAGCAATGCCAGCAGCGAACAAACGCCCTCCTCCCCCTCTCCTTTCCCATCCGCCTTCGTTGCCCTCCCTGCTCGCCCCTCAACGATCCCCGCTCTTGGGCCCCAGGGGGGACGGGCTGGGCCTCACAAACAAGACAAAAAGTCAACCCGACAACGCATGGGGCATTTCTAGCACGCCTCGACGGGCCGCAGGCACGTTGGCAGAGTGTACAGGAGTTGGGGGGCGGAGGCTCCTGGCGGGACTTTGGCAGTTTGAGTGCGGAGCATCTTTCTGCCTGGTCGTTCGCGGCTGCTTTTGTTCCTGGGTTTGCGGTGTATTTGTGTGTTGCCATTTGCACGTATGTGTATTTGTGTGTGCGTATGTGTGCATGTATGCGTATGTTTGCATTTACACCGGTAGTATACATAGCAGTCTGCGAAATGCACGGAATGCGGCGGAACGCAGGAGTTCCTTCTGGCCAGCATTGCCGCATGAATACTCGTCAGCACAATGCTGGCCGTATCCTTTTTCAAGCCGTCTCTGGGCAGAGAGTGAGGTCGAGCGTTTGAACTAGCGAGCGGCGACAGCCGTGGCCAGGAATAACCGGTGTGGAGCATCGGCCTGTCCCGCGACTCGCTCAGCGCTTTCGCACTCATTCGAGGGGGACGCAGGCGAGGGCGAGGAGCAGGCGGGGGTCGCCAACGACAGACGCGCTTGGGCGCTCGCGCACGCTGATGGGGTGGTATGCTCTGGGTGGAGCCTCTGGACGCCTCATTCGCCTGTCAGTCCCGTGTTCTTCCCTCCCCCTTCCCAGTCGTTCCCTTTCTCCTCCGCAGACCCTGGACTCGAAACGGAAACATGGGACGGAGGTGTGTCGTAATGCCCGGTATCTGGGATCTAGGGGCTGCTTCCAAGCCCGTGGACCGTCAAGAAAGGGGGAGCCTGTCGGAAGAGAAGGGTGTCGGGAGGGAGGTCGATGGGCTGGTGATTCGAACGCAGTCAATTCCATGTTGTTTCTTTATGTGTCAGGTGTTCTCTTCGGGCGAGTAGAACCATACAGTACACGTACACCGATCCTGGCCCCGCCCACCTTTCACGCATGAGGAGCTTGGCCACCAGTGGTACATGTGCTCGCCCTCTCACTCTTTCTCCCCAGCTTTAGAGTGCTTGATGGGGTCCTCGACTGATCCATGTTCATCGGGGCTGAATTGCGTGGCGGTAGGAAATGTAGAGCGTTGCCTACGCTGGGCGTTTTTTGTGCGGTCGGGCTTTCGGCCATCGTTTTTTTTTCTGGTGCGCCAGTGCATACGACGTCTTGGTGGACCGCTTGATTGATTGGACGGTGGCAGCAAAGAAGTGACAGCGCAAGGGCTGCGCCCTCTGCCGCCAGACCCCCTAGACCGAGCCGTCTAGCGGCAAGCGTGAGGCAGTTTCTGTACCCTCTCGGGTCGTTCTGGGGCCTCGAGGGGGCTCGGGGTTTCCTGGCGCAAACATCGCAGAGCGGATTTCGTTCGAAAAACCATAGGATGGGCCCGGGTTGTCCCGGAGAGTTTCGTTCCGGATGTCGAAGTGAATTTCGTGCGGATTTGTATTGGCCAGGAATGAAAACAAAAACAATCCACGTGACATTCACTTCGTTTTTCGCTCGAGGATTCAGGGTTCTGCGTTGACAGAAGTTCACGCAAAAAATCCGCTGCTCAGGACAGAAAAAGTACCACTACCACCAGCCAGGGGTGTGGCCGCTCCCTCCCCTCAAGCTGGTGGCACCTCCTTCCGGGAACTCTCTGGAGGCATGCCCGGAACGAGGTGCCACCAGCTCGAGAGGGTGGGACAGCCACCCCCCTAGCTGGTGGTAGTTGTACTTTCGTCTCTGGTAAGCTGCAGCGCGTCTGCAAGGTCGGTGCAATGAGAGGTTTCTCGGGCCGCCTTTGAAAGGCGGCCCGGGGAGGACACACCAGGATCTGTCTGGTCGGCCTGGGGCCTCGTGGGGGCCCCTAAGGTTCTCGTATCGCCTCTGGGACATATCAGGCTCGGTCATGGCCTTCAGGGCCCATGTTGGTGGCATCTTGGGGCCGTGTTGGGCCATCCTCGGCGATCTAGGCGGCAAGGTTGGGGCTTTTGGCACTGGGGCCCATGTTCGTGGCATTTTGGGGGCTTCTTGGGACCGTGTTGAGCCATCCTGGGCGATCTTGGCGGTAACACTGGGGATTTTGGCTCTGGGGCCCCATGTTCATGGCATCTTGGGGGCGGCTTGGGGCCGTGTTGGACCATCCTGGGCGATCTTGGTGGTAAGATCGGGGATTTTGGCTCTAGGACCCATGTTCGTGGCATTTTGGGAGCGTCTTGGGACCGTGTTGGGCTATCCTGGGCGATCCTGGCGGTAAGATTGGGGATGTTGTCTCTGGGGCCCATGTTCGTGCCATTTCGGGAGCGTCTTGGGGCCGTGTTGGACCATCCTGGGCGATCGTTGCGGTAAGATTGGGGCTTTTGGCGCTGGGGCCCATGCTCATGGCATCCTGACGCCGTGTTGGACCATTCTGGGCGATCTAGGCGGTAAGACTTGTGCTTTGGGTTCTGGGGCCCATGTTCGTGGCATTCCGTCGCCTCTGGCCAACCGCAGTAAGTCATATCGCAAGTGATGGTTTTTATGTATCCATTTGAGATCTTTTGGCTTGCGGAATCAGCTTCTTTCATGTCCCAAGCCCAAGTGTCGTGCCAGCCTCGCATTATCATTGCGATTGCTTCTAACTGCTAGAAATTTCGCATCGGAGCCGGGCGCCCCCAGCAGTAAGTTTTCGCGCTGGAACTTCTTGGAGATGCTATCTCCCGGTTTTGCGTTCTGCGCGGCAGGAGCGGATCGCGGCGCGCTTTTCGCGCGAGCGGCGGGGCTCTGCCCATGGTCCAACACTGCGCCAGGCGGATTGCCGCGGCGAGAGGAACTTCTGGGAGCGACCCGCCTGAGGTCCGCCGAAACCAAGCCTCATTCTATGCGAGCGAGGGCGGGGCCAGACGAGGGCCGCAGATTCGCTTGTGTTGCGCAAAGTTCCCCCCCCCCCCCCTTCTTACGATCAGTATGTGTTACAGCGATCCTTCCCTGCCTCTCATCTTCCTCGTGCTCCTCCAGTTACCCGTTTCCCTGTCGATTCGTCCCCCGCGCCTTTTGCTACTCTTGTTTCCCCCCCGCCGCGAGGTCCCGTTCCCCCGTCTTTTTGTTTGTTTGTTGTTGTTTGGCTCCGTTCCTTCCGCCCTCCTCCCTGCAGTCTTCGGTCCCCCTTCGTGTCTGGAATTGCTTGGCAAGCGCAGGCGAGAGTTTCGTGGCGACGCTTGCCTTCCTTAATATCCAGGTGTCGTGCATCTACAATATCATTCCTCCTCGGTGTCTACGCGCGCGGCTGATGCTCTTGGCCGCTTGCGCCACCCTGGCGTTCGTTCCGCGTCGCTGCCACTTTCCACCCCCAGTCACGGTTGCAAGCGTGGGCTCGCCTATCTCGGGTCGGGCCGCGCATTGTCCCGAGCTTGTTAGGTGCGTTTTTTTGGTGTGTTCCGATGTTGCGTTGGCGTTTCAACAAAAACAGGGATGAGTGGATGTTTGCACATGTGAGGTGTGGGGTCATGTTATGGCATGTTGTGCTATGTGACGTCCTGTAATGCTATGGTATGTTACGACATGGCATACCCAGCTATGTTTTGTGATGGTATGGCAGGGTAGAAAGAATATGGTGTGCCATGTTATGTCATGGCATGTTATGGTGCTGATGGTGGTGGTGGTGGCGATGGTGATGAGGGAACAATGTTTGATGATGCTTCGAGCGGGGCGAGAGTTCCAACACCCCCACAGGGGGGGCGCCAGGGGGCATTGCACTCTTCCGTTCGCGCAAAAGTGGCGGGGATTTCTCGAGCGGGGTGCTTGTTTGGGTCCCGGACATCCTCCGCTTTCGGAGCAGTTTTGAAAGATGCCCCGAGCGAGGTGCGGGCCTCACCTTTCCCAAAGGGGGGCGCCACGGAGTATTGCATTCTACCGTTCGCGCCAAAATGGCGCGGATATCTTGAGCGGGGTGCTTGTTTTGGTTCCCAACGTCCCCTACTTTCGGACCAGATTTGACGGACGTCTCAGGCGAGGCGGTGGTTCTCGCTCCCTTGGTGGCCCATATTGCAAAGATCTTTAGCGGTTTGTTTTTTTTGCTGGCCAGACTCGTGGGCACCGCTTTTCCTCAGGTTGCCACACGAGGCCCCAACAGGTTCCAGGAGGCCGCAGGAGGCGACAGGAGGTCCCAGGAGGCACCAAGAAGTCACAGGAGGCCACAGGACGCCCGGGAGGCCCCAGGAGGACCCAAGAGGCCCCAAGAGGCCCCAGGGCGCTCCAGGGAACACCAGGAGGCCCCAGGAGGCCACAGGAGGCCACAGGAGGCCACAGGAAACGCCAGGAGGCCCCAGGAGGCCCCGGAAGGCTTTAGGAACCAGTACGCTCCAGGAGCAGGAGGCCCCAGAAAACCACAGGACTTGCTCACATATTGGGCCTCTCCTGGAACACGAATCCTTGTTGTTTTACGTATGTTGCCATAGATTGTCCTTTTTCCGCGTATCCATTCCGAAATGTTATACATGTGTTCCTAAACATTGGCCTTTCTTGGGGCACGAGTGCTTGGTGTTTTACGCGTGTTCCTATAGTTTGTTTTTTCCTGGTTTCCAATCCGAAGTATTGTAGGGGCCTCGGGCCAGTGCCGCTGATCTGGGGTGCCACCGATTCTGCTTGCAACGGAGGACTCTTTATGCTTAAAAAACAGCGCTCGCTCGAGATATATCCTCATAAGATAGAGATGTGGATCTCGCTTGGGCAACCTTCGGATATTCGAAAGTGACCATCTCGCGTGAACCGCCAAACTCATGGGATGTCTCCTCCCGCATTCGGGGCCTGAATGGCGTCAGCCATGGCGTCAGTGCCCGCCCCCCCCGACTTTTCCCTCTTGGGCCTGAATGGCGTCAGCCATGGTGTCAGGGCTCGCCCCCCCCCACCCCCCCCCAGATCCCCCTCCCGGACCTGAATGGCGCCAGCCCTGGCGTCAGCTTCCCCCCCCCTCCCCCCGACTTCCTCCCCGGCCTGAATGGCGTCAGCCATGGCGTTCCCCTCCCCCCCCCTCCTGCCCATGGCGTTCCACCCTTCCCCCCCCTTCCTCCCTCCCGGGTCTGAATGGTGTCAGCGCCCCCCCCCCGACAGAGCGACCCCCCGCCCCCCCTCCTCCTTCCCGGGCCTGAATGGCGTCAGCCCCCTTCCCCCCCCTCCTTCTTCCCGGGCTTGAATGGTGTCAGCCCCCCCCCCTTCCCCGACGCAGCAAAGCCCCCCTTCCTCCTCCCTCCCGAGCCTGAGTGGCGTCAGCCATTCCCCCCTCCCCTCCTCCCTCCTCCCCATTGCGCCCCCCCCTCCTCCTCCCGGGCCTGAATGGGTCCCCCCCCCCCTCCTCCCTCCCGGGCCTGAAGGGCGTCAGCTCCCCCCCTCCCACACCACCACCACTGACAGAGCGGAGCCCCCCCCCCCCCCCCCTTCCTTCCCTCCTGGCCTGAATGGCGTCAGCCCCCCCCTCCCCCTCCTTTTTCTTTTCGGGCCTGAGTGGCGTCAGCCCCCCCCCCCCCCCCCCCCCGACAGACAGAGCGAAGCTTCCCCCCTCCTCCCTCCCGGGCCTGAAACACCCCCCTCCCCGACAGACAGAGCGAAGCTTCCCCCCCCCCCCTCTCCCCCGGGCCTGAAGGGCGTCAGCCCCCCCCCGACAGACAGCGAAGCTTCCCCCCCCTCCTCCCTCCCGGGCCTGAAGGGCGTCAGCCCCCCCCCCTTTCCTCCTCCTCCTCCTCCTCCCTCCTCCTCCTCCTCCTCCTCCTCCTCCTCCTCCTCTCCTCCTCCCTCCTCCTCCCCGGGCCTGAATGGCGTCAGCCCCCCCCCTCCTCCCTCCTGGGCCTGAATGACGAGGAGGGAGGCTCTGTCGGAAAAAAGAAGGAGATTTCTCGGAGAGGTGAGGTCTGTCCTGGAGAGGGGGGGTCTGTCGGAGTGGGGGCAGGTGTCTGTGAGAACGGGGGGTGGTCTTCTTTAGGAGAGAAAGCGGAAGAGCGGAAAGGGATATGTCGGAAGAGGGGGGGTCTGTCCTGGAGGCGGGGGGGGGTCTGTAGGAGAGAAAGCGGAAGAGCGGAAAGGGATATGTCGGAAGGGGGGGCGTTGTCGGAGGGGTGGGGGGGGGGTCAGAGAAGAAGATTCCTCTCGAGAGAGGTGTGGTGTGTGTGTGTGTGTGTGTGTGTGTGTGTGTGTGTGTGTGTGTGTGTGTGTGTGTGTGTGTGTGTGTGTGTGTGTGCGTGCGTGTGCGTGCGTGCGTGCGTGCGT